CTTGCCTTGTAGCTTTTTCTCAGATGAATTGTGTTGCAAGCCCTTAAAAAGAAAAAGTTTGTCCAGAAGGACATTTATTGTATTTTATTTGGCAAAGCGTTTCATGACTCTTGGTAGAATGTGAAAACGTAATGAGTAAAGGAGAGTGAACCTTTAAACAGATTTTTGAAAGCAGTTTTGGGGCAATTTTTGTATATGTACGAAAAGTTCAGTACCAGCTATTGTACCTGAACCTTTCTGCATCAACATACAAAATCTGACTGAAAGGTGAATGTGCTGCAGAGAAAATATTGGTGTGACATCCAAATATTATCCGCAGAATAAGGAACAATTTATCAGAATTGTTTTCTTCAAACTTTGGAATTTTCTTACAAATGTGGAGGATCGTATCTGTGTCATGTACCCTGTTTCACTAGAGAGATTTTTGTCAGCAATAATTCGTATCTATGCACATAGGCCCTGAAGAATATCAGCTAAAAATAGCATGACATTCTGTACTGGAAAGCAGCATTTTGTAGTAAATGTTCTCAAGATTTACTGATCTGTCGCATTACGTGGGCAGGTATATGGTAAGAGATCACAGTGAAGGGCAGAAGGTGAGGTGGCTAAAACCAGATTTCAGAGGGATGGATTTAAACCAATGGGGGTTGAAGGTTTTTCTTAGCTGTTGTTTGTGGTTTTGTCTTTTTCCTTTATCTTTGAATGTCATCAGTTTCCTGAAGGGACATAATTGCACGGAGTGCTGGTAACCTAACAAGCTACTCGGGAATGGGAATGCAGAAACCATTCCATTTGAAGTGGGCCCGGACTGTTGCTGCTGAGCACTAAGCTGGCCTTGGCGGGTGTGAGCCTGGCACTGTGGAGTTGCTCTGTCCTTTCTCGGCTGGCTCGCTGCTGCTGGCTCGTGGCTCTTCTGTGGCCAGCTGCAGTGGGCTCCTGGCTTCCCTGCAGTCACCTGGCAGGATTTCACCTGGGCGCTGTATGGTGAGCCAGCAAAACAGTACCTCTGCGCTGCTGCTATCCCTGGGAAGTCTGGGACACGGCTTGTGTCCTTAATGGGAAATGAGTCCCAGCTCATCACTGGGACAGCACCATCGAAACACTAGAGAGAAACTTGCCCTGGCTTGTAGGGGGGGTGTGGTATCCTCAGGAGGGGAACTGGTTTCACTTCAACTTGAAGCTAAGGTTAATGGTGGCGTTAGCAGCTTCTAAACCGGGTCAGTTAATGGGAACTAGCTGCAGGCTTGCTGAAGCAGCACTAATCTGGCTGCTCTGAATGAAGTGTGTGTGTCTGATCAGCTCATTCTCTCTCAGGAAGCTGAGAAATAGCCCCAGTGCTTAGTCTACACTCCTGTCGATTTTGTTTTGGGTTTGTCCTTAGCTGTTGGAGATGAATGAATGAAAATGGTGTTTGGATTTGCAGCCAGTTCCCATCCCTTGGCAGTGTTATTTCCAGCTGTTCTCTCCTTGGCTCACCGGAGCCCATCAGCTGAAGGACTCTGCTCTTCTGCCCTGGGGGAGTGGGGTGCAGCCTTGAGCATCTAGGAGGGAGGGAGGTGATAGCAGAGGGTGTTGAGGCCTTTTTTGCTTTTCCACTGTGTATTTGTCACAGCCGTGTCCAAATCCACCAGTGGTCTTTCCTCTTGTCTTGTTTTTGCCCCTATCACAATCTCCCCTGACCTCAGAAGAGGAGCCTCCTTTGATTCCACCGGCAGCCGTCAGACACGGCGACAGTATGTTGGGGATATTCCCTGACGGGGAAGTGCAGACAGCACCTTAGATGCTTGATAGCAAACCACAAGCAAAGGCCCTGCTTAGGAAGGTCTGTGTGTGCTGGCGTTTGGAGAAGCACCTGGCGTATGGATCACAGGTCTCTTTGATTTCTTGGGGTTCCACTCGAAGGGGAAGGCGAAGGTGGTGAGTTTGAGTGTCCCTCTGAAGTGTCTGCATCTCCTGGAGGCAGCCCTGATCTCTTGGTTCTGTAAAGGTTTGATTTGACCTCTGGTCCCTCCCGTCAAATTCTCTGCCACTGCAGTTTACCATGAAGGTGTTTCCTTTTGGGGAAGGCAGTTGAGTGGAAAGTGCACTTGTTCAGGAGAAACAGTCTGAACTGAGAGGAACAGTGATCTCTGCTAGCTAACACCTGAGGAAGGAGAAAACCTTTTGTGGTAGGTGTTGGTTTAGAAGTCTCTTGGGTCAGAAATAGTTGCCAGGAAGGTATTGCCCAAATTCGATGGGATATGCCTCCTGTATGTTGGCTTTTTTAAAAAATAAATTTACAATACTACCTTCACTTTAGAGGTAATATTTATTTTCTAGGAAATGCTGAAGAGGGGTAACTTGTTAATGTTTAAAACGGGTTTTCTCTGACCTGAATGGAAGTATCTACAGAGGAATGTGTTGTATTTTGTTTAGGAATAGCTTTAAATAGCTTTTTCTCTTGGTAGAGGAAGAGAATTAAGCGGTTTAATCTTTGCGCTGTTTAGTTCTATTTGGGGTGGGGACAGCTTGGACAGCTGATGTTGTGTAGCCCTGGTATTAGTTCTAGTTCCACTCTGGCTCGAACATGGCTGTGAGACTGGCTTTGGGCACTAAAGCCTGATCCTCATACCCGCGATGTGGTGTCCCTGACCACGCTGAGGAGCCTTTGTCATTAATTCCTTCATTTCTTGCAGAGATGGCGTCTAGTTCTGATTGCTTGCAGGGGAGCTCTAGAGAGAGGAATGGATCCTGATAATTACTGGAACACCTCAATTCTGAGTGAGGGCTGGGAGAGATGTTCATATCCATTGTAGTGCCTTATCTTGTAGTAAGACCTTGCGGAAGCTTTTCCTTGCCTTTTCACATAGTAGCATGAGCCTTTTCACATAGTAGCATGATGTTCATGTGGAAACTGAACATCTGTGAAAAAAGAGTCAGCTTGAACTGTAAATGTGAGCCCACAGCAGGGAGCTCTCAGGGAGCATTGAGCGGGGTGTGCGGGGGTGTCTGATCCCAGCGTCTGCCTCCCCTCGTGCTTGGAAACCCCCATGTTGTCCTCGCCTTGCCGTAGAGCCAGTGCCCGGGCACTGCAGAGCCCGGCTGAGAGGCTGCTCAGGAGAGAGCTGGGCTCCTGCCCCGGCTTCCTCCGGCCTCCAGCTCGACACGCCTCGAGCCCAAGGCACGCAGGGGCAGTCTGAGCCTCCGTAGCGCAGCTTTCCTCTGCCCCGTGCGAAGCAGAGGGCTGGGAGCTGCTGGGCTGCGGCAGCACGTGGCTGGGCTCCCTCTGAGCCCTCTCCCCATCTGCCTTCCAGGAACATCACCATGTGGCGCGTGGTGGTCGGGGCCACCCGCTTGACCCAGCTGGGCCCGGAGGCCCAAGTGCGGAATATCAAGCGGCTTCTGGTTCCCGCGGACTATGGGAACATCCCGCACAGGCAGGACATTGCGCTGCTGGAGTTGGACCAGCCTGTGCAGTGCAGCCGCTCCATCCAGCTCGCCTGCGTGCCCGACGCCTCGCTGAACGTGTCCGAGCTGACGACCTGCTACGTCAGCGGCTGGAGGGCCTCGACGGCGAGCGGTGAGTTCCCAAAGAGCGCTATGGTCCCGAGTGCGAGCTCGGCACACGGTGGAGGCGGGCTGGGCTTCCTGACAGCGGAGGCGAAAGCCAGAGCCCGCCTGCGGGGACGTGTGCCTGTGGAGAGAGGGGCCTGGCCCAGGGCCCGCGGCGAGAGAGCAGGGCAACGCCGGGGCAAAGCCAAGGCCCAGGGCAGGGAGGGGCTCCCCCAGACAGGGCAGGACACCTGGCAAGGAGCTGCCGGGCATTAATTCCTTTCTGTGCCCGCAGCTGCAGGAACAACGGATGTCCTGCAGGAGTCCAAGGTCCACCTCATCAACCTCAACATCTGCAACACCAGCCGGTGGTACGCAGGGGCCCTTCAACCCCACAACCTGTGCACTGGCTCCCCGCAGGGGGCATCGACACCTGCCAGGTAGGAGCCTGTGACAAGGCAGCGCCCAGCGGCACCGGCAGCCCCCTACAGCCGCCCAGACACCCCCCGGCACGGGCTGTGCCTGGCCAGTCGCCCTCCCACCGCTGGGTCCCCACTGCTGGCGGGGCTCACCGCCCCTTCCCCAGCTGCAGGTCCTTGCCCAGGGCCCCGCTTGCCCCAGAGGCCCGGGACTCTGCCCAGAAAGCCCACCCAGTGCTCCTGGCAGCCCCGAGGTCCGGCTCCCAGCCCTGGAACATCCCTCTCGCACCCGGCCAGCGTCGCTGTGCAGAGATGAGCGCCAGCCCCACCCCACGGGCCCACCACCCCCTCCCAGACAAGGTCCTGTCGGCCCCAGCACCTGAGCAGAGCCTCTGTGCTGCGGACACAGCTCTGGGGGTGCTGGCAGAGAGAAGGAGCCCGCCCTAACGCTGCCAGCGGCCACCCGCCACCACCCTGACTCTCTCTCCTCTGCTGCAGGGGGACAGCGGCGATCCTCTCGTCTGCGAAGACAACACTGCCGACTACTTCTGGCTCGTTGGGGTGACCACCTGGGGGACAGGCTGCACGAGAGCAAACCGGGCTGGAATCTACACCTCCACTCAGCACTTTTACAGCTGGATCCTGGAACAGATGGGGCTGAGCCCAGAAGTAACGGCTGCTCCGGCGCCACAGCCAGCCTTCCCCTCAGCCCCCTTGCAGACGCCGAGGCCAAGAGCAACACCATCAGGCGGCTTCAGCTCCGACACCTTTCTACTGCAGAACCTGGTGCAATTCTTCACCTGGTTGCAGGAGCTGGTTCAGAACCTGTGGGAAGGGCTGAGCAGCAGGATGGACAGGATCCAGTGCAGGCTGCAGTGCACCACGGCCACCTCCTGCAGGGGCTCTGCCTGCTGAGCCAAGGGCAGCCTCGGCGTCAGCGGCCTGCTCGGTCCTGCCCACATCCCTCCACCTGCACAGAAAAGGACATTTTCTTTGCAGCTGAATAAATTTTCCACATTTCAGAGGTCACCAGGCTTCGGTTCCATTCCGTCTCCTGAGCAAGGCAAGGATTCCATGCCCAACACCTGCAGAGTGAGGCTGCAGGCAGCCAAGGGAGGCACAAAGGGACAGAGTGACTCTGAGGGGTGACCCCGAGCCTGGTCGGAGGGGAGCGTCAGGGTGCAGTGGCAGAAGGGACCACTGGTCACAGGGGCGAGAGGTCTTGGGGACAGCAGGTGGAGCACAGAGTGTCTTAGGCTGTCTGCTGGTGGGACCCCGGTGTGCGTGTGTACAGGGCTCCAGTGAACCTGAACCTGAACTCTCGTGACCTGGGAGACACGGCTCTGGACAGAGCCAGGCTGTGCCCTGAAGCCGGGCTGGGGAGCTGGCCATCCCAGCACCCATATCCCAGGCGCTTGGCGTCCCTGCTGTCAGCTGAGCCAACTCTGCACGTGCTGCGCTGGTGAATCCAGGGAGTGAAGGGTGTTTGTGTTTCACTAGTCAACATCCAGTCCTGCCCGTCGGGAAAGGCAGAGAAGGACCGGCCTGTGCTCCTGGCGATGGACGGGCTGGTTACGAACCCAGGGGTGCTGGTAAAGGCCTTGGCCTGCCTGTGTCAGTCTGTTCTGCCCTTCACATTACTGGTGTGTGTGTCTGTGTACCTGCCCTTTGGGGTGCAGCATCAGTCTTTGGAAGACACACCCGGGGACGGCTGCAGCCTTATCCATGAGGCTGCGACAGGAGAAAGCTCCTGGGGGTGAATCCCCCAGATTCGGCTCTCGTGGGACTGAAAGGAGAAATCCCCCGTGCTCAGCAGCGCCCTGGCTGCTCCCTGACAGAACGGGGAAGGAAACCCAGAGAAACTCTGCAGCAGAGACCCCGAGGTGCCGAGGCAGCGCTGGCCAGGTGTGAAGGCCTGTGCAGGGACAGTCAGGAAGGGAAAAGGAATGAGTGGCACTGACCCCCCCGGGAAGTTTTGTCAGACCTCTGCAGTTTGATCACTCTAAAAGTAAAGAGCATTTCATCCTGGCAGCGTGTTGGGATGTGGTTAAACTCACGGGAGGGATGTGCCAGCCACACATCAGCTGGGACAGCGTGCGATGTGATGAGCACGGTGCCGTCCCTGCGAGGAAATCCGCCCCAGGCCATGGCAGAGAACTGCAGGAGCTCATCCAGGGCAGGAGGAAGAGCGCTCTGCCGAAAGCCTGGGCAGGGGCTGAGGGGAGAGGTGGCGCAGGAACGCAGTGCTGCTGCCTCCGTCCTCACAGGCACTTTGGTCACAGACGTGTTCTCACCCAAATGGAGCATGGTGCTGCCATTCCGGGCCAGGACGGGGTGTGAAAATAAAGAAGAAAATGAAGAAGAGAACCAATAGTGACCTTGCAGGACCTGGAGTAGCAGAGGGAAGATATTATGGCCATTTATACAGCACGTATAAATGGGCCTCTCTAGGGCATCCCTGGGGCACTGGACTGTCCTCAGACACCTTTTCCACTGCTATCTGCTGTCCAGTAAACTGTGTTTGAGCTTCTGCAACAACTGCTCGGCATGGTGGGCGACAGTTTTGTACAATCAATTCAAAAGGAACAAACGCTGCCTCCGAGTTGCTGATGCTCCATGTTCCCCGCAGGCACCAGGCGAAGTGCTGGGAGGTGATCTGCTGCATCCCCTCTCCTCGCCCCTGGCCTCTGTCAGCCTCATTTCGTGCAGGGGAATGTTTTCCTTGATCCTGGCTGCCTTCGCCCTTTGTTTGGGGATCTGGTCTTGATGAAGATGAAGTAGCAATCATGAGGTACGGGCTAACATGCTAAACGGGGTTGATGCTGTGGAGTCAGCAGAAGGCCAGGACCCTGTTAAATGGAAGTAGCAAAGGAGTAGATCACCTCAGAACCTGGGTGTGTTGTTGGGGTGTGTCTAAATGAATCTTCAGCTGTAAGTACTGTGGTTCCAGCCTCACTGGAAGCCAGAGGCGTCAAAGCCGTGCAGGCCTGTGTGGGCTGAAAGTACAAACAAGAACAAGTTTGAGGGTTATTAGGTTTCACAGGTGGGTAGGAGGGTCACAGTGCTCTCCTGGGATCTGGAAGTTAAGGTGAAGTTGAGACAGCCTTGCTCCATAGCCCGACACAGGGATTGCCTTGGAGCCCCTTCCCCCAGCTCACAGAGGGACTTGGGAGGGAAGGATTTGCCCTCCTCTGGGCCACCGTGATATAATACAATACTTCCATACAATAATTCTAATCCAGTAATTCTTCTCTCCTCTGTCCTCTTTATTCACGTAGAGAGTTGCCAAAGCCGAACTCAGACCAAGAAAGCAAGACTATAAAGAAGGTAAGTAGTGGTAGATCCTAAGGATTCCTTTTTAGCCTGGTTTCTGAGAAGGATTGCGTTTGGCCAGTCTGTTTAACTTGTTCTCAGAAACTTGTGATCACATCAGCCAGAATCAGCTGAGGTTGTGTGTGGAGATATTGCCAAGATATCTTTGGCTGCAGGAAACCTTTCCTTCCTGTGTGCCTTGCTCCCCTCTGATGTCAGAAGGTGGTGCTGGGTATGATCGTGGGGCAAGATTACAAAGTAGGTGGATGGTAGAAACGTCCCCTTTGTTATGGAGTTGCCAGTTTGTTATTGAGATATTCGTGTCTCGGGAAGGTGTTTAAGTTTTCTCCTAAGCTGCAGGAGGCAGGGCAGCGTCTGTTTGTTTTTGTGGCAGACAGTGCCACAGCTTTGTCGAAGCAGGAGTCTTCTGCAGTAGCTGCAGTCTTCACCTGTGCAAAGCAAGTGGAGGAGCTGTGCACCAGGGGAAGGGGGAGAAAGCAGCACGCGGAGACGGGGTCAGGGATAGAGTAATTTATTGTCTTCGGTAAAGACTTGCTGCAGCCCTGCTAGTGCTGCCGGCAGGGCAGCCTCTTGCAGGACTGGGGAGGGTCCTGGGGGCTGGGGGCCCTCCTCTTTGGGGGGCGCCGGGATCCCCCAGGTGAGCAGAGTCCCTGCCCTGGCTGGGAGCGGAGGGTCTGCAGCTACAGCCCTGGGCAGAGGGACCTGCTGCCACCAGCTGCCCCGGCTCCTCCTGGGGCTGCCTCTGCTCTGCCAGGACAGGAGCAGATGGGGGGTGGCCAGCCCCCCATGGAGGGTGGTCTCTGAGGTGCCGCCTGCCTCCTCCCCGTCGTAGCTTTCACGGTTGCTGGAGCAGAGCGGGCTGGAGTCAGAAAACCCTTCCCGGGAGGTGGTGGGGCTGGGGCTGGATGTGGGGCTGTTGTGCTCCCTCCTGGCAGCGTAGGAGAGCAGCAGCCTCCAGGCCTCCTCGCTGCACCGGCGCACGGTGACACCGATGAGGCCACGGCGCAGCGTGCTCCTGGAGCCTGCGCTGCAGCAGCTGGACTGTGGCCTCCTCGTCCAGCCCAAAGCAGCACAGGGCACTCAGGACCAGCTTTTCCGCTGCCATCGCCAGCCCCCACTGCTCCTCATGGATTGCCTCCAGCCTCCGGCGCAGCCAGGGCAGTGTGGGGTAGAGAACATTGTGGTTTTCCTGAAAAAGGGCTGCCCGGACCTCGGGCAGAAGGCCACCCACAGTAGCCCTCTCCTGCACATGGCCGGTGGACAGCAGCTGGGCGGTGCCATGGCAACGCAGTGCTGGGACATGGTGGCACCATGACAACTCAGTGATGTCAAAGTGCAGCAATGTGACACCACAATGCTCGATCTCTCTATATAGAGCCACCTGCTGGGAGAGCGGCTGATGTGGCCACAGCTGGGAACCAGTGCAGGGTCACAGCTCCAGGAGAGCTCTTGGACGAGCCATGGAGCACCGTCTCACCCCTGGCGCCCAAAGGACAGGCACGCTTCCGAGGGCACCAGGACGGAGGAGAAAGGTGAGCGGCACGGCAATAGAGAGGGCTGAGCCAGGGAGCCTGGGGCATGGGGGGCTACTCTGGGGGCCTCGGGATGTGCCCTTTCTTGCAACTGCCATGCAGGAGCCTAATGGAGCTAATGCCTGAGTGTCTCTGTTTCCCTAGGCCGGGCACAGGAGCCAGCACCCAGGAGAAGGAGCTACCGGGCTGACGGACCGTGAGCTGCTGGACCTCCCACTCGGGGCCAAGATCCCTGTGCTGCCTGGCTCCAGGCCTGTTTTCAGCCGGGCGAAGCTGGGAGAGAAGGTGAAGGAAGTAGAAAAGGGGCAGAGAAGCTCTTTTACGGGGTCCCCACCATTCAGAGAAGTCCTTGCAGCCACCTGCTCTACAGCAGGAGCTGCAGCCTTTTGGTCTGACAAGTCGGACCACTCCCACGAGAGATCTTTCCTCTGGCTGGCAAGTCATCCAGGAATTAGGCTATACCTTGGAGGTTTGGAAATGCCACCCTGGGTGTGGGAGGAGCTGGGAAGTGCATCTGTCCCTGCTGCTCTCTCCTGCCCCGTTCATACTCTGGAACATCTCTCTTACAGCTTCAACTGCCCTCAGGCCATTTTGACCTGGGAGATCCCTACTGTCGCCTACTCAGGAGAGAGTACAACAGCCTGCACGACCCATCTCTGAAGGCGTATCACAATCGCAGACACAACTTCAGGAGGCTGAGGGAGGCAGGTTTAGTCACTAGTGATGGCCAGGTAGGTTTGGACGCTGTCGGGCTTATAAAAACGATTGTCTCCAAGCGGGCTTCCCCGAGCTCTGGGGGAGTGTGTGCAGGGGCACAGCTCCCCACCCGCCAGGTTCGGGCCATTGCGGGCTCTGTGTAGCTGGCCTGACAGGGCCTGGATCAAACCCTCCCCTGGTCTCCTCACAGGTGATTTGCACGCTGAAGGAGTTCAATGAGTACAGGCAGTACCTGCTCACGCTCAGGGTGCAGGCAGAGAACGTGGCCAGGCAAGAAGAGGTAGGCAGAGCGGAGTGCTCGCGGACACCGGCCAGCGGCACGGTGCTGAGGGCTGGGGCTGTGCTTGCTGTGTCTCGGGGAGGGGGTCAGTGCAGAAGAGGGGAGGGCTGGGCTGGTGGGCCAGGCGTTGTGACGGGGAAGAGACCGCCCAGCTCAGAGCTGATCTGGCACAGGGTGCTGGGGAGGGCACGGGCTGGACAGGAAGGTCATGTTCAAGCACGCGGGGTGCTGAGGGAAGAAGCGCTTGTCTTCGTCCCTCATCACACGGCTGAAGCAGAGCGCTGGCCTGGGCCCGTGCGAAGCCTCAGCACGGTGGGGCGTGAGCCCTTGTCCAGGCAACAGTGAGCCACAACCTGGTGTCCCCTTTCAGGAGAAGCTTCGGCAGCACCTGGCCAGATTTAAGGCTGCCCCCAAACTGGCAACAGCGAGGGACACTTCTCGCCTGGCACAGCGGCCGTTGCAGCCTCGGAAACCATCCTGCCCACCTCCACCCAAAGGCAGGAAAGGAAGGCTGTGCGCTAGAGTGAAAGGACCTTTGCACAAAGGCCAAACTTGCCCCAAAGCTGAGTTGAGACAGGAAAGTGCCAAGCTGTCCCAGAGGCTCAGCAGCGATGTGGTCCCTGAGGTTCTTGGAACCGGGAATAAGTCAGAGACAGACGTTAAGCCAAATCCAAGAACCTCAGCCAAAGGTTTGGCTATAAGGGCCTTGGCAAAAGACATTGTAGAGAATGTATTAGACCGCGCATGTCAACGTGGGCCTGCTCTGACCCCCGAATTGCAGTCTGGAAGGGGTGTCTCAAAACCGCCCACACCACAGGATGGAAAGGAGAGCCATCCCGCTGCGGATGCCCTTCCCTCCACGGTCCTGCAGTTTTCCAGGCAGCCCGTCCCTCCAGCAGGTCCAAACCCCCCAGCCCACACAGGAGCACGGCGCCCACTGCTGCGCATAAAGCTTCCCCACAGCCAGCCCGGGCGGCCCGTGTGAAAACGAGGGAGTTCCCTGGGAGGCTTGTGAGGGATGTCCTCAAGAGCTCTACAGAGATGAGAGCAGAGGCGAGGATGCAAACTGCCATCTCCAGAGTTCTGCAGCGCCCTGCGGAGTTGTTTGGCAAGAGAGGTGTAGAGCCCCTGGGCCGCTCCAGCAGGGAGCAAACACAGACCTTACTCTCTCGTGCATGCAATAAAAGCCTGTACTCCAGAGTGCTTGCTTGTGCCTGCCTCCATTCAAGCCAGGCCCTACTGTGCCTGGGCATTTTCCCTGCCATCTGTATCGTCGTCTTCCCTCCTACAGCCTCTGCCGTGCTAAGACCCAGTTTTACAGGGAATCTTACCGGGGGAGGTGAGACCTATCCAGCATTCTGTCTTGTTTATGGAGCTTTGCTGCCAAGCTCGTGGCGGGGGCGGTTCCAGCTCTAGGAGCTGGGTTTTCACCTTGTGGGAAGAACATTGTTGCTCTTGGCATTGAGATCCTTTGTCCGGGGCCCCTTCTCCTCAGATCGAGCTCCCCAGGAGCTCCGCACAAACACGTGTGGTCCCCGACCCGGGCACTGCGCTGGCCTGGGTGAGACGGGGAGTCTCAACAATCTTAGATTGATGGTGCAAGGCCTGCGCAAAAACAAGGGGAGGCGTATGGGACTGTTCGAAAAGACATACCAGGTGCTGCTGATAACGTTGCTAGGCGACTATCCCCTAGCCCAAAGAGAAGTCTCCCCTAGTCCTTGAAGTTGTGGGTACCAGCAACAGACTACCCAAACACCAGCATAAACTGGCCTGGCAATCTGGACAAAAGCCAGAGAACAACTGAGGCTGCGCAGAGCGACAGGGTGAAAAGTTCATCAGCGAGGAAGAAGAGGTACTTCATCTTTGTAACAAATAAGCCGGACGGGAGCTATTAAAACTCCAAAGTTATAGAGTGATTTCTCCGGAAAACATCTTGGCACCCCAGATGGGACCATCTCTGCTCAGCTGCCGGGACGCTGCTGGAGGGTGGACGTCCTAGGTGCACCCCGAGCTCTTCTCGGAGGAACTCCGCTCCCAGCTGTCCACTGCGGGGGCAGACAAGGACCATCTGGTTCGCGGACAGAGGTATGTTTAAGGGTAAGGGGCTGCTGGTAAGACGCACAGAGACGTCTGGCGCACGGCTCAGTCCCGAGGAGGGGGTGTACCCATTTGGTTTTGGCTTTGGGATTCCGCGGGAAAGGAGTGAGATCTTCTGGGGCCAGCTACCGATGACTGGTCTATAAGAGGCAGTTTGCATTTTGGGCAGGGTACTGGTAATTCCCGTCACCTGCAGGATCTTGCCTCAGGTCAGTGTATAGTGCACTAATGGTGGATATGCTGGCTTTGAACTGACTGCTAATTGTTAACGGTGTATGATATATGTTACAAACGGACTTGGGGATTGTTTAAACTCGGTGCATTTTGTGGTGTGAGTGGAAAGTGTGGTGGGCCCTTTAAGTGTCTGTGTGCCTGTGTGGTGTGAGTGAGAGCAGCCGCTGCTGTGTGTCTGTGTGCCTGCAGGGGCAGGGTGTGAGTGAGAGCAGCCGCTGCTGTGTGAGAGAGGCAGCTGCTGCAAGACAAATGAGAAGTTTATGTCTGTTTAAATAATACCCTGTCCTTGTATGTCTTGTGAAAACGTTGTATGAGCCGGAGATGGGAAAGTGAATCCCTTCTCTGTCGGTTTGGGTTAGATTTGGTCGGATTGTTTGTGTAGAAGGAGTGAATGGTCGGCACGGGGAAATGATTTATACCTGCTAGAAGGATTGTACACAGGTCCTTCTGGGCAACGGGTAGTACCAGACTGGGTTCGTGGGAGAATCCCCTGCTTCCTCTGTGCTCCTGTGCTCCTACCTTTGGTAATTTTCATCAAGCTTGGGTATTAGCAGAGTGCGTAGATTGTGGATGTAAGTGGTATTATGCGTCTGATAAGAGGAGGTCGAGGTGTGCAGGGTGCTGGGAAGAAGAGGTGTCGTTAGACCTCTCGGTCGAAAGACGGGAGTCGATAATTATTGTGTGGAAGAAGTCATAAGATACCGAAACTTTGGGAAGTGAAGGAGGAAGAGTGGGAGAAGGTTGAAAGACAGTGTAGAAACTGCTATAAGTGGAGAGAAAGGATTTTGGGAAGAAGGAATAATAATGGGAAATAAGCGGGGAAAAATTGTAAAGCAAAACCCATTGGATTGCATACTCAGGCACTGGAAAGACATAACGGGGAGAGGAAGCACGGAGAGCGAGAAAATCCTGATTAAGTATTGTAATCAGTGGTGGCCACTCTACAAACTAGAAAAAGAAGCTAAATGGCCACTAAATGGGACCTTAGACTATAACACGCTTTTGCAATTAATGTTATTTTTACAGAGGGAAGGGAAGTAGGAGGAGGTGTCTTATGCAGACATGTTCTTTACCCTCTGAAATCACCCGGGGTGGCAGAGGGACTGTGCACTAGTTCCACCATAAGATCCTTTAGTGCTTGCCCTGGGAAAGATTGTAAGGGAACTGCTAGCCAAAGTGAAAAGGCTTATTTTTGCAAACCTTTGAAATATAAACTGGGAAAGCAGTTAGGCATACACAAATTTCTGTATATGCCTTACTCCACAAAAGGGCTCCTAGGAAGACACTTACTAGAACAATTAGGAGCAACCATTAACTTTAACCATGGAGAGATTACTCTGGAGGTAAATGACCAAGAGCTTATACAAATCATGAGCTTGTCCCTAACTAGTATCCCCACTGGAGGAGAAATCAGTGAGGAAATTATCAATCAAGTGTATCCCGGAGTGTGGGCCACTGACACGCCTGGAGAAGGGCAAAGAATGCCTCACCCGTAGAGGTAAAACTTAGGGAAGGACAACAACCGGAAAGAATTAAGCAATACCCTTTAAAAAGAAGATCAGGAAGGGATCCAGGCAGTTATAGAAAAATTTTTACAAATAGGATTACTAAATAGATCTCCACCCAGTGGTGGCAAACCCATACACTTTGTAAACAAAATTAACTCCTGAGCTAATCTGGTTTACTGTTGTAGACCTCAAGGATGCTGCTTTCTTTTGCCTCTCCTCGAAGCCAGTCAGAAAATATTTACATTTGCATGGGAAAATCCTAAGAGTGGACGTAAAACCCAGTTGACCTGGACGGTGCTGCCACGAGGATTTAAAAACAGCCCCACTCTATTTGGTAACTAATTGGCCAAAGACCTGAAACCCCAACTCCACCTGAAGAGGGAGGGCTGCTGCAGTATGTAGACACATCCTAATTGCCACCAAGACAAAAGAGGCCTGCGTGACCTAGACGGTAAGGCTTTTTAAATTTTCTGGGACTTCAGGGCTACCGGGTATCTAAAAAGAAGGCCCAAGTGGTGCAGAGTGAAGTGATCTGTCTGGGCTACGAAATCAGTGCTGGAAAGAGAACCTTAGGACAAGCTCGGAAAGAAGCAATTTGTCAGACTCCGAGGCCACAGACAGTGAAAGAACTGCGAACGTTCCTGGGAATGACTGGGTGGTGCAGACCATGGATTTATAATTATGGATTGCTTGTTAAACCTTTATATGCACTACCCGCCACTGAACAGAAAAATCTCCAATGGAATAAGGAGGCCATACGAGCCTTTGACTTGCTAAAGAAGGCCCTGATGTCAGCCCCGGCCTTGGGACTTCCAGATGTAAGTAAACCATTCTTTCTCTTTTCACACGAGAAACAGGGAATTGCATTGGGAATACCGGCATAAGACTTAGGTCCGTATCGTCGGGCAGTCGCCTATTTCTCCAAGCAACTAGATACAAACGCTAAAGGTTAGCCCGGATGCCTACGAGCGGTTGCAGCAGTGATCTTAAACATAGAGGAGGCACGAAATTAGGCCAGAAAATGACTGTATTTGTATCTCACACAGTGTCTGCAGTATTGGAAATTAAAGGGGGACATTGGCTTTTGCCCCAAAGGTTCTTAAAATATCAGGCGGAATTAGTAGAACAAGATGATGTGGAGATGGTAGTAACTAACATTATTAACCAGCTTCTTTCCTGAGTGGAAACACAGGAGAACCAGTGCAACATGATTGCCTGGAGACCATCGAGGCAACACACTCAAGCCGCACAGACCTGAAGGATGCCCCTCTGGAAGATGCTGAGAACTGGTTTACGGAGGGGAGCAGCTATGTTTTGAGCGGCAAGAGGTATGCTGGGTATGCTGTTACTACCACCCAAGAAATAATGGAATCAGGACCACTGCCTGCGAATACCTCTGCACAAAAGGCAGAGATAATCGCGCTGACTCGTGCTTTAGGACTAGCCCAAGGCAAGACAGTGAATATTTACACAGACTCAAAGTATGCCTTTGGGGTAGTCCACGCTCATGGAGCAATCTGGAAGGAAAGAAGACTGTTGGACTCACCAGGGAAACACATCAAACATGGGAAGGAAATTCTGCAACTGCTAGAAGCTGTACAACTTCCAAGGAAAGTGGCAATCGTGCATGTTAAGGCCCACCAAAAGGTGAACTCAGATTTGGAAAAAGGAAATGAACTGTCAGACAGAGAGGCAAAACAAGCAGCCAAAAGAGAGGTAAAAATAGAGGGAGTTTTAGTTCCTGATGAGCAAATCATCCCAGAAGGTAGGCCTAATTACACTAAAGAGGATCAAAAGTTAATTAGAGACCTGGAAGGATCATATAATGAAGAAGGTTGGGCCATCACTCCCCAAGGGAAGGTAGGAATTCCCTCTTGTTTAGCTAGACACCTGGTGCGAGAGGAACACAGGAGAGGGCACTGGGGAGCGGAGGCCCTATACCCATATTTGGTCAAGAGTATTAGAGCTAGAAATCTGTATACCATAGTAAGACAGGTGACTCAACAGTGTGACCTTTGCCTCCAGACTAATCCTAAGAATACCCCCACTCTAGAAG